GACCTAAAGAGTCACTTCTGAATGCAAAACATTGAGAAGGCCATTGCTTCTCACGGCAACCGAAAGGAAAGATGGGCAGGACTACCTTGACCGTTTCAGATCACTCGACTCCAATTCTTAGAGGTTACTGCTCCTTGGAGCCTGCTATTTTGAAGCCCCTCTTCTCACACCCACTTCCCAAAATACAATAAACCTCAGGAGAGAGGCAAAGCAAAGGAAAATTACTTCCAGAGGGAAACACCAGGCCCTGAGAAAACTTTCTGCCTCACCAGACAAGTGCAAGACACCAGACTTAGAAATAAAAGCAATGTCTTGCTTTCCCTCCTCTGCAGAGTGCACTGTGTGGTATGGGGAAAAGAAGGATTTGATTTTGGATGTAACACTCCCCTTTTCATGATTTGGGGCACAGCTGACCAAAGGACAGTGACATACTTATCATACCATTTCCATATATGACAAAAGCTTGATCACCTACGCTGGATACAAGGGTGTTTTTTCTTTTCAAGATGTATACACTGCATAGTTATTTACCTACTTAGATCACTCCTAAAAGGTCAACAGTCTTAACATGTGAGGCCAGCAGCAAAGAAAAGGCTTCAAATACCAGATCTCTCTAGCCCACAGCTATTAAAATCCAGACCAGCATAAAAACAGCATGTAAGCACAAACACTGTCTTTTAGGGAATGAGTATTCAGAATAATATTTCATCTTTAAAACAAACAAAAAAAATAATCTGTGACTTAAGACAGTGTACTGTGGTTAGTATTTATTCATATCCATACTCTAATTTCTAGCGGTACATAAAGCCAGGAGTTTCCAAAAGGTAACGAAATGTCGAAAAGTATTTTTATACTTGTTTTAACCATTTTCTTACTTCCTCTTTGCTTGACAAAGCTGAAGCAGAAACAGGAAAACATCAAATCATTATCACTCCATCCAGTTTGTCTCCATTTTTCTGCTTGTCTACACCCTTTTAAAATTCAATTAGTCTTACTTTTTTACGGTCTCTCCTCATACAAAAGCACTGTGATGTCTCTAATAGTCCTTATTTTGTAACCTCTTCTGCTAAAGACTAAGGTAAGTAAGTCAGCCCATTAGCCATTCACCTGGCCGTATTAAGTTTCCTGTCTTAAGTCTTAATCCTCTTATTACTTATTTTTCCAATTCATTACTCACTTCCTCTTACAGATGTAAAATACTGACACTACCATTCAAAATAAACACCATAACATTAGACTTTGTTGTGTTCTCCATCCCCACAATAATTAGCTGATGACAGTCCCGTGAACAAGAAAAAAAAAACAAAAAAAAAACCAGTGATGAGATCTGAAAAAGAAAAAAACCCACCCACCCAAACAACAAAACCCCTTTCTCTTTATTCACTTTTGCCAAACTTCTTTGCGGGTTTCTCTTCAGCGTTCAACGTGCACCTCTACAGACACTGGTGGGCATACGTTTGCCACAGAGAAAGGGCAAATCCTATTCTTGAAAAGGTTACCAGCGCTGCCAGAAATAACCATTCCTCCATCCTCCCCAGGCCACCTCCCTCCCTCCTCACGCTGGCACAGGCACTCTGGTCGATGTGGGGTGAGCAGAACGAGAGACAGGGACAGGGTTAGCATCACCGGCACTGCAGGGTTGAGAAGCAGCATCCCGATGCTGCGGGGACGCAGCCCTGCTTCCTCTCGACATAGGCCATCGTTTAAGGGCATTTCGTTCCATCCTTTTCCAAAACCTTAGATCCTAAAATAGTAATTTAAAAAACAAAATGCTTCCTCTTGACTTTCTTTAAATTCTTGGCTGAGTGCATTTGCACATCAGAACAGGCCAGGTCACATCACCTGACATTTATATGGACATCTCCTAGGTAAAAGCAGTGCCTTGTGCCCTTCACACTTGGTGAAGCCAAGTCTCACGTACTGTCATCTGCGACCATGCAAGGATCCCCGCTGGTAAGAATTACAGGTAAAGCTCATGATAATACACACAGAGCTTAGCACAAAAACAATTTCCAAAGATTTTGCACAAGAACACAGATTGGATCATGCTAATAATAGAGGTGATACAAGGCAGAAGCATTTAAAAAAAAAAAACAAAAAAAACAAACAAACATACAAACATTTCCAGTATGACTCTAATTGGATTTATTCAGTCGGAAGCTTTAAATAGCAAGAAAACATTTGTTTTAATAGATTTTTAAATAACCTAAACAAACACATATCACCACTGAGCTTAAGGGAAAAAAAAAAACCAACAAAAAAAAGAGTGATTTCAGTGTTCCAACTGCTGCTCGATTTTCTTAAAGGGTTTGTTTCAACATGTCATAGTCAAACAAGTCAAACCTGAAGTATCACTCCCACCCTGTTCTAATACAAAAAACCATTTAAGTACAGTTATATTTTATGAATCCTTATTTGATTGACAAGAAGCACAATCTCTTACACGATAAATTCCAATATATTATCTGAAGGCCTTTCTCATTCATCTACAAGGCTTTTCTCATCAAATTTCCCTGGCATCATCTATTTTGAGACCTTTTGGATCAAATCCCTATTTTCTGGTATTATTTACATGAGTCAGGTGCTTCCAAAGCAATAAAAAGAACGTTTGAGAAACTGCATGCCAAGCTACACAAAGTTAATTTGAATCACTCAACCGGTAGAAAGCCACGCATCCACGATAAAATCCAGCATGCTAAAACCTTTTCAGAAGTAAACTTTCTGCTGAAAATAATTTTGAAGTATAGTAGCTTTTTTCTTTTTTTCCAAAATTAAGTCAGTTGCAAAATTATCTCAACCAATACTTAAACATATAACACTAAAACTATTCAAGTAGATAAACCCTAACCTTTTTTCTTTTTGTAAGTCCTTTTTACTTTCAAAAAACACTCCAGACTTTAATGCTACTTTATAGAAAGATTATAAAACTATACTAGATAAAAGAATACAATTTTCTACTGAACAGCCTGAATATTTACAAAGCACTTAAGTGCAGCTTAGTAACTAGGCAATTTCAGGTGTACATGTTTTATGAGTCTGTATGAGTACCATTCAACGTCACTGAGCCAAGACAAGCATAATACATGCACAAGGCTCACGCTTGGGATGGGGAGGGGAGAGAATATTTTTGAACATACATCCACAACAAACCCCATTGCCTCACAGTAAGTGCCTATAATACAATGCAAGTATCCAAAATGCACACAAGGTGGAAAGGAGTTGCACATTGATCGCACCAGCGTAGAGACCTGCTCAACCTAGTAAGCATGTCAAAATTCTTTATGAAGTATAGATGCAAAGGAACATCAGGCCAAGTAAAACAAAACTACAGCTAAAATTTGTAACGTAGGCAACTGAGTAAGCACACCACCACTATGTCTAATGAGCCATCTGAAATAGAAAGGACAATTTGAAACTAGTTAGACGAGAACAAAGTACTACAATAGGACCACCCAGCCTGGCTGTCTACAGCCTCTCCCTTTGCAAGTTCTTGGGAAGGCAGGAGGGAGAAATGGCAATAGCTCACACTAATCTGTAATTGCTTCAATAAATAAAAAGCCAAAATGCATAAGGAAGTATTCTCAGACCATGCATCTTGAGTATCTGATGAATTACGAATTCGTCCAGAACAGCTGCTGTTAAGACATTTGCACTTGTCTAAAACCTCACGAAATTCATGCCGCCTTTTCAAGACTTGCACGTTTTTGTCCCGATGGGCCTGAAAATACTGTATCTGGAGTGGTGTACAGCTATTACAACAAAATGAACTCTCAAGTTTCTAATTTCTTAGTTCCTCTACTGCACATTTTTGTATAATGTGGGTTTGCAGCAATCCATATGATTTCCCAATTTAGATTTCTGTTGATGAACTTTGAGTAGTTTTTAAACCTTTAGCTGCTGTTTGTAATTAAGTAACGAGGAAATGCAGGTGAATTAGAATACTTTATATGAGCACTGTACATGAAATGTTCTTGTTTACAAGCTGCAGTCAAATAATAGTTAGATTTTTCTGGTATGAACTCCAACCACTAGTTTCATCAAGCCTACAACTGCGCTGTGCAAGTTTTTACTTCCAATGTGAATAGCTGTAAAATATTCAAAATTTCCTTCAAATTACTCATTGTCCTAGTTTACTAGCTTTTTACTGAATTTGCAGAGACACGCAATACCCAGGACATACTATTGCCAACGATGCAAAGCGGAACTGAAAAAGGTCTTCAATCACGACAAGTTCAGCTTATAAAGAAAACAAAAGGACCTCAGATGCTAAATACTCATAATTTTTACATGTCACACAGGTTGGATAACTATACGAAGAAAGTAGTAAAAAACAAAATCAGAAATACACCTCCATTATTAGGCTAACGTAGAACGCAACCATGTACCAAAATCACTTTAAAAGCCTCCCTGGTATCACCTTAAACATTTAAGTAGCCTCTCACTCACTAACTTTAGAAGTTCACTGAAGTCCACAGCTGCTGAAGGCACTCAATCAGAACTGAGTTTATAAGAAGCAGGCAAAATATTTACAAGTGCTGGAGCAAAACAGAGGCATTTACATAATCTTTGGCAAAAGGATACAAAAACATTGCACTTCTAGTAGACTGTCCAGCTACTTACAGAAAAAAAGCCATCATGTTAGGAAGGCAGGAAAGGCACCCTAATCAAGCAAGTGAAAGCTAATTTTCTTTTCCTATTTTCCTTTTAAAAAGTCTCATCAGAGGTCTCAAAACAACAGTAAGTGATGACTTCAGAGTGCAACACAAAACGTACTTCTAGAAAAAAAAAATAACAATATAAAAACATCCAAAGCAAATATTCACATTAAAAATGGTAACCAACCACTTAATCTTAGTACAGCCTTCATTCTCAGATGGTCCTTATGATTTCCAAATTATTCCTATTAGTTATCTGGAAGAGTAATTATTTATGCCATCAACTTTAATAAGCGCTAAAACCTTGTTCCATCAAAAATTAAAAACAAAGTAAAAGACACCTACCTGTAATACCGAGATTGTAAATAGGTTGAACAAATAGTCTTTGATACGTGGCTGGCAGACCCAAAATCTATGACTTTAACCCGGTAAGGCTGCCGAACAGGATCCACCAACATAATGTTCTCTGGTTTGAGGTCAGCATGGATTAAACCCAGACTTTTTAGTTTTTTCAGTGCAGTGGCCACCTGTTGCAGAATAGGCCGTATTACTTTCAGTTGCAGAGGGCTGAATTTGTTTTGTTTCAGGAAGTCGTATAAATTCTGTTCCAACATCTCAAAAACCAGGCAAGTATGGTTACGATGCTGAAAGCATTCGTAGGCTCTCACAAAGTTAAATTCATCAGCATTTTCAGTACTTAGTCTCGCTAATATGCTCACTTCTATTTGTCCTTGGCGTGCGTACGAAGGATGATTCTTCAAGATTTTGATTGCCACGATCTCATTTGTCCCCCTTTTCCAGCACTTCACCACTTGTCCAAAGGTCCCTCGCCCAAGGAAATCAAGAACCTCGTAAGTGTTTTTCACAGAGCACAATACCTCATGCTGTACTAACTGGTAATCTCCATCTCCGCTTGTACCACTTGGTTTTGAAGTTGCGGCCGTCGTCACAACCGTCACCGGGTTTCCTATGTTGGTTTGCAACATTGCAGGCAGGAGGGACAGTTCATCGACAATCTGCATCGTGCTGTTTTGATTATCCAGCTCTTCGCTCTTACGCTTCAATCCACATCGCTGGGGTCCTTCCAGGATATCTGACCGGCTTCCTTGCGTCCCAGTCCGAGGTGCCTCTAACTGAGCTTGCTGCGCCCGCGCTGCTAACGCTTTTGTAGCACCTGCAATATTTGTTAAAGCAACAGCATTTGACTGCAACAAAAAGTTCTGTCCTCGAGGTCTGTCAAATGGGTTTTTAGTCTGAAAGTACGTACTAACCCTGTGGGGAGAAATGCCAAAGTTTTTACCATTCACATAGATTTGCGGGTAGGTTCTTTCGTGGTACACGCAACTGCTTGGTTCTAGTTTGAGTTTCTTCACACTACAAAAGGCACTTGACTGGGTTTGATAAACGTATGGTGGATAGACCAAGACTTGTGAGGCCATACCTACGGAGGGAGAGAAAAAGAAAAAGCGAGTGAGAATCCTGCGTTTGCATTTCCAAGCTTTGCAGCAGCTTCCTCTTCTGGAAAAAAAAAAAAAATAAACAAACTGGGACACGAGTACATTTTCCAACTGAGCTGGCCTAACGTTTCTTGGTATTTAGCTTCTTATGGCCAATAGCAAGGTCCTCAAGCCTTCCCAATGCGCACACCTCAGCATGGCAGGACTGCGGCAGCAGCAGGTTACGGCAGTAAGTGCTTTTGCTGGTTGCACAGGGCAAGACTGAGATAGCCTACAGCAGGATATTACTCGTAATTTTTCAAGTAGGGGAACTACCTTTGTGCTATTAAAAACTCAGCTTTCATTTAACCAAAAAAACCCAGCATTTCTACACACAAAAGTACTGCAGTGTTCAGTAATTTAAGTTAAATACCCAATTCAAATATTTATCAGTGACGATTTAAAATAATTTAAAAATTCTTAATTGTGAGCCAATGCTACCTGTTACACAAGGTATCCAACCTACTCATGGTAAGCACCGTCAGGCTTCTGAGAACAGATGGACAAATGCCATGACTGTCACTGCTCCACCAATTTCACCATGAGCAAAGTGAAAGTCATCAGGCTGTGTGATGGGGCCCAAAACACCTTAGGGGCACATGTATGTTCACATAATGTACCCTGAAAGCTGCAATTGTTTAAGATGTACAGCAATCTAATCCACGCATGAAAGGCAAGTGCTTTCTCCAAGTTACATACTGTCCCATTGCAGAAGTTTGCATATCAGCGACACAGTTGTAGGTGGTAGAAGCACCAATTCCCCCCCGCCAGACACACCTTCCATTCCGATTCGGAAACTAGATGTTAGCCTTATACTTTCAGATATGCCAATTTCAGGAGTTAGGCCACAGAAAATCTCCACTCTACAGTAACCTGTTAGATTACCTAAATTAATATTTTACAGACCTATAGAATATGTCTCTGATCAAGACCATTTTTGAAAACTGGACTGATAATTGTAGGTAGAGAACTTACAAGGACAGATTTCTCCCAGAAAATGTACTGTCGAGTGAATGTGAAAGGAAAAAAAAGCATATATTTTTATTTTTTTTTTCTATATTCTGTAAATATTTTTCATAATACTTTTAAATATTTTTTTTCTGCCAACACAATTACTTCCTCGCTAAGACAGAAGTGAAAGTTGGAACAGAGGACTATGGATAATTTTAACATCTGAATTCCCAGTAAGGCTGAGATCAAAATTTCAACTTGAATGACTACACCTTCCTTGAAGTCATCACATTTTCGGAAGGCTGTACAGCCTCTCAGAAAGAACACTTGCACCTCGGAAACCAGTAACAAAGAACAGTTTTGTGCAAGAGGAGGCAGTTTGCCAGCCCGGGAAGCCCCCGAGCACAGCAGCTCCGTTCTGCACAGCCCGCGTGATGGTGCAGGATTAGTCCTGCTGCCTCTCTGAATTTGTCCCCGACTCATGACGCTAGCTCTATGGAAAGCAGGGCCACAACATCGTCCAGGGTCATGCTCCCCACTTTTCACATGAAGACACGAAGATGAGCATGCCAACAGAGTGTCGGAGGAAGGACGACAGCGGCAGCGGTACCTGGCCCACACGTAGGATGAGGAATCTCAGTTCCACTTTAAAGTGCATAGATCTCGCCTCTCTCAGATGCTGTACCTTCCTGCTCTCATCTCTGCACTGACCCTGCTGTGTCCCCTTCCAGACCTGTGAAATACCAGCCTTAGAATCAGAGAATAGTTTGGGTTGGAAGGAACCTTTAAAGGTCATCTAGTTCAAACCCCCCCTGCAATGAGCAGGGACATCTTCAACTAGATCAGGTTGCTCAGAGCCCCGTCCAACCTGACCTTGAATGTTTCCAGGGATGGGGCATCTAACACTTCTCTGTGCAATCTCTTCCAGTGTTTCATCGCCCTCACCGTAAAAAATTTCTTCCTTTTATCTAGTCTAAATCTACCCTCCTTTAGCTTAAAACCATTACCCCTTGTGGTATCACAACAGGCCCTGCTAAAAAAAAATTGTCCCCATCTTTCTCATAAGTGCCCTTTTTACTGAAAAGCCGCCAATACGGTCTCACCAGAGCCTTCACTTCTCCAGGTTGAACAACCCCAACTCTCTCAGTCTGTTCTCATAGGAGAGGTTTTCCATCCTCCTGATCATTTTTGTGGCCCTCCTCTGGATCGGCTCCAACAGGTCCATGTTTTTCCTGTGCTGGGACTACAGAGCTGGACACAGTACTCCAGGTGGCGTCTCATCAGAGCAGAGGGGCAGAATCACTTCCCGCAACCTGCTGGCCATGCTTCTTTTGATGCAGCCCAGGATATGGTTGGCTTCTGGGCTGCGAGTGCACACTGCTGGCTCACATCCAGCTTTTCATCCACCAGTACCTCCCCAAGTCCTTCTCGGCAGGGCTGCTCTCAATCCTTTCATCCCCAGCCTGTATTGATATCAGGGGTTGCCCCAACCCAGGTGCAGGACCCTGCACTTGGCCTTGTTGAACCTCATGAGATTCACATGGGTCCACTTCTCAAGCTTCTCCGGGTCCCTCTGGATGGCGTCCCATCCCTCAGGTGCATCAACCACACCAGTCGGCTTGGTGTCATCTGCAAATTTGCTGAGGGTGCAACTCAATCCCACTGTCTATGTCACTGATGAACATATTAAGCAGTACTGGTCCCAATACAGACCCCTGAAGGACACCACTTGTCACCAATCTCCATCTGGACATTGAGCCCTTGACCACTTACTACCCTCTGAATGTGACCATCCAACCAATTCCTCATCCACCAAACCTCATGGCCACCCATCAAATCCATCTCTCTCCAACTTTTGCGTCACGTAATGCTAAACACTAAGAAAAAGGCACTGGATAGACCCTAGTGTAAATGACTACAAGGTTTCAGGGAAATTATGGCTTATACCATTCCCATCAGCTCTCAGAGACAAATTCAATACCAATAACACTTTAATTAAATCACTTTTTCATACCAAGCACATGAACATTCTGGCAATAGGTGTTTAAATTGCAGATGAGTCACATAAAACTTAAGCCAGACACTGCAATGACTCTGATCAAACGAAAACTAACCCAACGTGCGGCATAATTATTCTGAAGCTGTGATTTGATTCATGCAAATTAACATTTAAACATCTTAAGAGCGATTAAAATAATCATACCATCACCTCAGTTTAGAATCCTGTAATGGTTTTTGCCCCAGCAGTAGAAGAAAACTTCAAAGCTCTTTCCTTTCCTTTCCAAAGCTGTCTGCCCAGAGCCAGACGATGTAGAATGCTGGAGATTGCTGGCAGCCAGGCTCTCTCACCACCAAACATTATGGGACTGCTGCTGGCTCCCTGCTCCACGCCAAGGATTTAAGACTGACTCTCAACCTCAAAACACAGGCAAAAATTCTCCAAGTTCTTGAATCCTCTCCTAAACAACATATCCCATTACAAAGTGCCTGGTGCAAAGCATAAGTATATTATTGACTATGGGACTTACCCTCTTTGCTACAATATTTAAAGGAATCATTTCCTTTAAAGGAATCATTTCCTGCACCATAAAGGGCAGAAACAGGTCTGGCACGAGCAGCCAAAGCTGCGCTGCCCGACGGGAAGGAGCCTGGACGCCTGACCCATGGGTGAGAGACTCGCTAAGCTGCAGCAGCCCCAGCGGGTCCATTTGCCCTGCATCTGCCATAACCAAACCAAACACCTTGCTTGGTTTAACTGCTGGAGAAGGTATCTGCCCGTGTAAGCGTCTCGCCAAAGCTGAAGGCATAAAATCAAGTTGACTGCTTTGAAAAAAGCAGTGATAAACCTACACTGCAATTAAGGAGGTTTTCTGAAGACAGGACAACCCAGAAGGGGGGAGAATGGGAAAAGGACAGTCCTCAAGCACGGCCAGAAGACCACTCAAATCCTCACCTGAGCCTGCTGAGACCACTGGCCTTCAAAAACGTTTAAGTTTTCTATAGCTCATGCTATCCAAACCAGTCTGGAAGGACTGGAAGCACATAGTCCCAGCTTCTTCTTTTACGTTAGTTTCGGTTGGATGAGAAAAACTAGGATATCGTATTTTGGGGTTTGTGTGTTTCTTACAGGCTTAACTCCATGACCCTGAACTCTGACCTCAGTAACAGTTCTGTCCTCAGATAAGAAGTGTTTATTGAGTTATTACGAGAACATTTTTAGCAAGTCCAAGAAAAAAAAAAAGTAATTAAGTACTAAATAGAAGACATTACATACCCTGGGAGAACAAACTTTGATGCAATCATGACAGCCTGAACTAAAAAAAGCCAAATTTTACTCCAGAAAAGTAAAAGTGTACTAAAGAGCTCTTGTACGAGCATCTTATTTCTTACTTTCCCCTACACACTTCTCCTTTACTCTAAATATTTTGTCTCTTTTTAAACACATACCTCAAGATGCAATCTCATTTGCAGAAGCTACAGTATCTTCGTATAACCAATGAATAAGGTGCTCCCGTGAAACAGGCACATTAAAACCCCGCAGCATCTTACACCTGAGACTGCTTGAAGACCTCTGCCATGCACTCATACACGGTGCTCAGAAGACCTTTCAGACAGACGCGCACTCTTTACTCTCCATTAACACGTATGCAACAAAATACACCAGAACAGCATGTAACTATCCAACAACCAGCTGCTGGAGGCCTTTGCCTTGAGAAGCTAAGTTTATTAATAGGATTGATTTCCCCCCAGCCAGATGAAAACCCAGCCCCGCACCCAGACTGCAGAGCTGCACAACAAACCTCAGAGAAAGGGAAAATACCACAACACCCTCTACTATAACAGCACTGCTGTTGTGGGGGCTTTTTTGTTGGCTTGGGGTTTTTTTTGTGGTTGGGGGGGGGGTGGTGGTTTGCTTTTTGGGTGGTTTTTTTTTGCTGGGGTTTTTGTTTGTTTGGGGGGGGTGTTTGGGGTTTTTTTGTTGTTTGCTTTTT